GGCTTATATTCGGGGGGGGGGCTTATATTCGGGGAGCTTATAGTCGGAGGTTTACGGTAATTCTATATGTCGTTGCAGGATTCATGCGGCAAAGTACACTTTGTCGAGACCAATGATCGAGTTAGGTCGTTACACAATGCTGAAAGTTGGTCATAAGAGTGCTCCAAAAGATCCTAAGAGGTTTGTAAATACCCCGGTATATGGAGCTATAAGTGATGTGAAATATATATATTCAAAATAAACTAACAAAGTAAATACAACCTCACTCTGAAGGCTTTACACGACGCCTGCTTCGTCCCCAGGCGCTAATAAAAAATTTCATGCGAGTCACTATATGAACGGTTTACATGAAGTAGTGCATCGCGACGAACAAGCGCAGGGACGCTGATATCCCACTCCCCTTTGCGCGCCTATAATGTGACGCACTACTTCATGTAAACCTTTCATATAGTGACTCGTTCAGTGACCCCTACTAGTTCAGTTTAATTTTAGGTTTCCTCTCGAACACTGGATCAATGAGGTCGGATGTTCTCACTGGACCTCTAGAAAGAACAGTTTAGATACGAATATAGAATTATCCAGTATAGAGTAAAATGTGTGTCCCTCCAAAGGAAAGGCGTGGTAATGGGTTAAAATTCATTTAGGCATAAAAAACTGCGGAGTTCAGCGAAGAGGATGACGACAGATGGATTAAACTCCCTTCGATACGACGTCATCAAGTCCGTCAAGACAGCCGAATATCAACTGTACACGAATATTACAGTAAACATTGGCGCGGTCTGATTATCTTGTGGTAGTTGACAAGATGTCCTATACAATCCTGGACAAAACATCTGCGACACTTCCAATAGGCAATTCCAGCTATGGACTAAATTTTGATCTAGGCAAGAAGAAAAGAATCCATCACCACACCTACAAAGTGCATATTAAAATTAGTAATGCAAAGTTTGGTTGCGAAATGTTGTAAAATGCGGAAAATATAGCCCTGTGAAATTTGCAAATTCTGTATTAATTTGTATTACGCGCGGGAAAATGCATCACATTTGGGCCCGAAAGTGAAACGGCTAGCCGCCATTTTGTAAATTTCGGTTTTGTTCACTGGTTTTGTTATATTCACTTGTAGGTGAATATAACAGCTTAATACGTCAAATTTGACCAATCAACTTGTGCAGGATTTGTCATGTTCACTTGTGCAAAAATACTAAACGTTAATATTGAATAATACTATTGATAAAAACCATTAAATAACTAAATAATAACGTGATTTTTACACACTTTATTCAACCCGCGACTCAATAAAATACACGGTTTGGAGCTTTTTTACAACCCGCGACTTTTTACCCGCGACACGCGACCATTAGTCAAACTCAGGGTGAACATATAAGAATATATATAACCTTTTGTACGGTTAAAATGGTACACCGTGGAATATTTTAAATTATTATACATTTAATATCTATTCTCGTTTCTAATTGGTCAGAAAGCACCGGCTAATTTTCAGTATTCGGCATTTATTACGTATTTTCCGCCGATGACGTCATCAGCGTCCAATAATTGTTTTTTTGGATCGAACTTGCATCCAAAAAAAAAAATATTGGACTCTCCCATGCCCAAGCCCTTGCGCGGACAAAAGCTTGAACCTATAAGCGCGCGAAAAAAAACCAACAAACAATGGCCTACAGCAGATCAACCTCGTTCCCAGGGTCTCTGGGTACGAGGTTGACAGCAGATTTGCTTCCCTGAATGAAAGTGAACTCTCCAAATTATTGGCAGATAAGGATAGTGAAAGCACGAAAAAAGCCACAAAGGGGTAAATAGAAGTAGAAATAGAATATTTAGCTGACCTTTGACTTTGTGCAAGGTGTTTGATATTCAAATTGTACTTTTCCTACCTCATGAACAGGAATCGTTTTATACGTTTCTCATGTCTTTTAATAAAGTACTGTTTAATAAACGAGCAGGAGTGTTTTATTAGGTTTAAAGATACGAGCGCGCAGCGCGAGTGGCTTTAGACCTAATAAAACACGACCTGCGAGTTTATTAAACGGCTTCAAACACGACAATACAAATTCAATAGATATACCGCCTTATTAGTATTCTTTATATAAAAAATACTAATGAGGACACGACTACAATAGATATACTGCCTTATTAGTATTCTTTATATAAAGAATACTAATTAGGAGTGTTTTATCAGGTTTAGGGAGCGGTCATTATTTATGGCGGGGGGTGGCACCGAAGAGAAAAAGGTTGGGTAATCAAAATTTTGAGTAACTAAAAGGTTGGGTAAATGAAAAACAAAACAACTCAAGGGTTGGGTAATAAAAATTTATTGTCATTTCCAAAGCATGACCCACTGAAGTATTGGAGACTGAAAAGCAATGTCAACAGTCATTTGTCAATACAATACGTGAATCAATCAGAGTCACTATCTTGGTCATTTTGACAAAACAAATGGTGTTTCCAAAGAAAGTGAATGTGCAGACAACATGAAACTTTAGACTGCAGAAAAGTTCACAAGCCGTTATCAAACTCATGTCATAGAAGTGGTAAAAGACATGTGTGACAACTGAATGGTATCCTTTTGTAAAGTTTTTGACCAGGGATGGATAATTATTTTTCAATTTATATTTGAGGTTGGGTAATCAATTTTTTGTCTTTTTAATGGTTGGGTCAGCAAAATTTTTGCCACGAAAAACATTTCTCTTCGGTGCCACCCTCCACCATAAATAATGACCGGTCCCTTAAAGCCACTGCACGTGACATATTATAGTTGACATGATTTGCCATGTTTGAATGTATAATAAAACAATTATTGGATTCGGCTTTCGCTTTGCTTTCGCATGATATCAAGAATTATTCAGACCTCGGTCTATGTTATCCGCCTCAGCTTCGCTTCGGCAGATAACATTGACCTCGGTCTGAATAATTCTTCATGCTCAGCCTCATCCAATAATTGCTTATTATTATATGGCTTTGCAGAATCCTGGATTCTGATTGGTCGACGTGCGTATCCGGACCGTGGTCCGTATTTTCCCGTATCCGGACCGGTTTCAATTTGACAGGCTCGAATTTGAAACGTTTTTACACGTTTATGAGGTCGTTATGTTGAAGAAAAAGTATCCTTGTATCATTTTTAAGAATAAGAAGTCTTGGAAATATTAATAAGTACTTGTACCAACACAAATTTCATCGAAAAAGCTAAGAAAACAAGCCGTTTGAACTCTTACTGGCAACCGTAAGTTTTGGCGGGAAAATTTTTTGATTTGTTTACTTGTTTCAAAAAATAAATAAAGATGAATTTAACGTCTTTAATACCATATTCTAAACAAATATCATATAAACTGGGTTATAAGCATTTTTTCTGGGGGTGGGGGTTACCGAAAAAGTAGTTCTAAAGCGATTGTTAATTAAACATGCTTTTCCGTAAACAATATTCGGTGACGAAACCAAATCTAAACGAAGAAAACTAGCAAATATATAAAACATAGCTCAAAAATACTTTTATAGCGCTCAAACAAATATATGAAAATTAGAAAATGTGTTTAAGGAGCCATATAATAAACAGTTTATTAACCTCGTTTTGCTCGGTCTGTACGGGAAAGTATTTGCCTTCGATTTATCCGCACAGACCTCGCTCCTTCGTCGCTCGGTCTGTACGAAAACCTCAGGCAAATGAAAGCCCAGCTCATGGTAAAAAGAACTGTACAGGAAGACTTGTGAGTTTGACGTGGTCACAGACAAAATGACTTGCGTCTTGATTTGGACTTGCAAAATATGACTTATTAGCTACTCTGTAATTCTGATTTAATTCCCTTCAGGTATATGATAGCATTTCGAATAGTCCTATATCTCCATTACTCCATTAGAAGATAAACTCAAAAGGTGAGATGTTTAAATTGGTTACATTGTAAAATCTTCAAGATTTCAAATTGTAAAATCTTCAGGATTTCCAAGGCCAAAATTATCCAAAATTACACAGTTTGTAAGCTTGTAAGCTTTGTTACTGCAAAGTATTGATTTCATTGAGCCCCAAATATTAATTTGTTTTCCTTGAATTGTCAAGTTCTGCCAAAAACACGCGTAGATCACCAAATATGAGTTGTAACACAAGGTTGAAACCCGTATTAACGATGATGTTTTAAATACAAATTTCTCCCGATCAAAAACCATTTCTGCCAAATAAATTTCTGTACACGCAGAGTCTTGCTTTAGTGAGGCGGTAAAACTGCCGACTTGTACTTGATAGAGTGTCAAAGACAGCCATAAACAGGTTAAAATAACGGAGCTCAAACAGAGATGTGCTATGACGGCCATGTTATGTTTTATACAAGTCCAGTCCATGTTTTACAAGTCCAGTCCATGTTTTACAAGTCCAGTCCATGTTTTACCAGTCCATAGTTTACAAGTCCAGTCGAAGGTCCTGTCCATGTTTTACAACATGCCTGCCTGCAAAGGTAGTATAGCCAACCTGTATGCAACTATATTAGTAGTTTTTATAATGTACCATTCAGAAGTGAAATTTTGGGGGGCTGAAAGAAAGCGGTTCCTGAGACAAACAAACACATACACAAATGCGGTTAAAATTTTTTGCTTTGTTCAAATTACCCCCTATTGAATGCTTGGAAGATAAGCGAAGCGTAAGATCGCTGTATTCCACTGACACGAATTCGGTATGGCAGCGTTTATATTAAGCCATAGAATTTTAGCGAAGTCTTTCGTTACGCTGACATTCTTGCTTATGGGTGCTATGTTATTATATGTTGCTCGAGAAGATGTTGAGCCTTTCAATCCGACTGCAATCTCTGTTCTTGACCCAAACTTCAAGGAGGGCCATGGCAAATCCACGATTCTAAATTCAGGGAATATACGTCGTTTAAACGGTGCGAATGCCTCTGCCAAGAAGAACAGACAAATTGATATGAATGCGAAGAATTCACAGAGTAACTCACAACACAGTAATTCACACATGATATGCAGCCTACAAAAAGTCAAAACGTTTCCCAAGCCGAAAACATTTCTGCGACTCAACTACCACTTTGTGAAAAGCCATACGAAGCTCTTGGTAAGTGATGTTGGTAAAATATATAATTTGGTTGGTCTACCCTAACTTCAACCCAAAGTCTAAAGCTCCGGTACAGACAGCAACCTTTAGATTGACGTTTACGGCAAACAAACTATATTGTTTCAATGCCTCTACTGTAGAGTCTGGTATATCGGCGAACACTATAAAACAGCAGATCTAAATATAAATGCTTTCAAGTATATCTCAAGTATATTGCCAGCTAAAGTATATTGCTAGCTAAATAATAATCTTTACCGGAATTTATATCCAAAGGCAAAGTATTGTTGATCTGAGAAGAGTAGCTTTTACACCAGTTTTGAAATATGTTAAACTTATTAAACTTGTGCTCTTTAGCAATGATTTAAGAAAGCAAATTAACTATTAGTCATGCTATTCACCAAAGCAGTAAATTAAGATTTGGCGTTTGAAGTTGACGTTTGGCGTATAAATTTCATGCTTGAACTGCTACGAGGGCTTGTAGTCGTTAAAGCATGGAGTTTATACGCCAAACGTCAACTTCAAACGCCAAATCTTAATTTGCTGCTTTGGTGAATAGCATGACTAGTGGTTAAGTAATATTTCAAATCCGAGTTAGTGTTTTAGACGTGGTTTCTAAATACAAGTGCCATGAGGCGCAGCCGAGCCATTGTTCATGGCACTGGGGATTTGGAAACCACGTCTAAAACACTAACTCGGATTTGAAATTGCTTCTCACACATCATTAGACTTTCATAGCAATGAGGCATGAAATTATTAGATATTCAAAAAAGCGAGCGTGGGCATTAACGATTACATTCGCTTGAAAGTTTGCATGAAGTGCAACGAAGCATTCAGTTCGCTTTCGTCGTGAATAGATGAATTTTGTTGGCAAAAGAGCATGGTGACCATGGTATCTTCTTATAATATAAGAAAAAGCGGTTTCGAGAACCAGAAAGTGTTGAGCACAGCATTGTGCACAGTATTGTCGCTCGACAAGGTTGCATGGGGATCCGAAAAAAGATATATCAGATTGTGTGTGCGATAAGGCGCTATCTGGTGGAAAATGAAAGAGCCGAAGTGAATATATATTTTATAGACGGTAAACATTACTGGTAAGTTGCTGTATTATAGTGTTTAAAGCGCTGTTTATTATGATAGTTGGTAAAAAAGTTGGTTTTCCTATATTTATGTAGTTTTCAAACGTTTAGGAAAAGTGTTAATAGCTATAAAGTGTAGTTAGAATAAATTTCTAAATACAACTTACTGTATTTAGAAATAATTCTAAACATAGCAATTAAATATATTTGCATAACCTTTTGTTTACGCCTCAATTTCCCTATTGTTCAAAGCCCTTCCCACTTGAAGTAATTAATGTCCTGGTCTAGACGGGGTATCCAGATAGATACACGTGATGTAAATTAAACCATGTCATTGGCCGAAATACTATGAATATCTAATGATGTATGAGAATTTGCTTTCTGAAATCCTTGCTAAAGAGCACAAGTTTAATAAGTTTGACATATTTCAAAACTGGTGTAAAAGCTATTATAATAGAGTTGTAAAATCAAAAACTTCGCTAGCGGTTTGACGTTTGCCGTAATTCGTAAACGTCAATCTAAAGGTCTCTAATAATATTTATTCATCAAATACCAATTCAGGCACATATGAAATTACATACGATAAAAGATACAAAAGTATCTTTATAACAACTATAAAATATTATACAAATAATGAATGTTTATTCGTGCAATGGTAAGAATAGTTTGATTCGGTGAAACTGAAAGATGGAATGTTCCAATCAACGAGGCGACAGCCGAGTTGAATGGAACATTCCATCTTTCACCGAATGCAAATATTCTTACCATTGCACGAATAAACATTCATTATTTGTTTTATTGCTGCCGTTAGGCAGCTCCCTATTCAATCTCGTACCCAGAGCCATCGTTGAGTGGCTCTGGCCCAGTGGTCTCTACTCTGTGACTCGGCTCTCGTCGCAGGGCAATAAAAATTGCGTATTAAATCCTGCCTCGTCAGCAGCCAATCAAATTGCGCGATTAATCAAAACAAATGCTTGCCATATAATAAAATACATTGTTATATAGTTGGTGTCAAAGTTCAATTTTTCTGTTTGCCGATTGGTCAAAACCGTGTCACGTGCCGGTCCACAAAACGGTCATGTTCGGCAACCGGTCCGCAATCAAACATTTATTGACCGGTCAATAATAAAATGGGTGCAATACGCATGCGTGTCAACCATGAAGTTCCAAAGTTCATTTTTAAAGCTTTTTACTAAACATTTACGGCGTCCATTTATCCAGTTTTGGTTTCAAATTAAGTTCACTCCAATAACCGGTGAATTATTCATACTTTGACACTTATATACTATATAACAAAACACTTATTTACTGAGACCTCGGGAAAGCAGTGTGTTTTGTGGCCCCTCGACCGCCGTTGTTGCCCTCGGCTTCGCCTCGGGCAACAACGGCAATCTCGGGTCCACAAAACACACTGTTTTCCTCGGTCTCAGTAAATAAGTGATAAATATTGTTGTGATTCATTTACAATACAAATAGTATTGAGAACTGTTCAACTGACGTCCTGTAACGTTATTTTTATACTAAAATTTAAGTGAACGAATTCTCTATATGATATAGTGTCCGATATGAAAGTTTTCTGGTATCGAGGGAAAATTCTTTGATAGAAATTTAAGGGAGACTTTACTGTAATGTATGGTTTGCCATGCATGATAGTATAGCTTTCCGTAGCGGCGCGAAAAAGCAC